ACACCACACCACACCACACTACACCACACCATACCACACCACACCACACACTACACCACACCACACCATACCACACCACACCACACACTATACCACACCATAAAACACCACACCACACCACACCATAAAACACCATACCACACTACACCACACCATACCATACCACACCACACCATAACACTCCATACCATACCAGTCCATACCACACCACACCACACCACACCATACCACACTACACCACACCACACCATACCACACCACACCATAACACACTACACCATACCACTCCATACCACCCAATACCACACCACATCACATTACACCATACCACACCACACCATACACATATACATCATCCAAGGATTTAGAGAAGATAGCAGCAGAGAGGACCCTGGAACCTTGAGGGCTGCAAAACGGGGTCCAGGAAGCCTGGTTTCCATCTAAGCCAGCTCCTGGCTGCTCCTCTGGTTTCTGGAGTCCAGCAGGGGAGGCTGGAAGAACAGATTCCACTACTTAACTCTGCACACCCCTAACTCTGTTGTCTTCTTCCAGGGCTGCCTGACGAGGAAATGAGTGAATCCCAATCCAATGCCCAAGGATGAGGACCCACACCCAAGAGGGCATGAAGTGATGCCCACCCAGCCCACGTAGAATGACTGCCCTGAGAGGGTGGCTCTCCAGACCCAGGCAAGGCTGCTGACCCTCAGTCTGCAAATCGTGAAGAGCAGGACTCTTCCTGTGGAGGGTCCCCTGCCTTCCAGCTCCACCATGAGGCTCCTTGTGGCTGCCCTCTTGCTATCTTGGGCTGCTGCTCCCCCCGCCGCAGTACCTGTGGTACCCTGGCGTGTGCCCTGCCCTCCTCAGTGTGCCTGTCAGATCCGGCCCTGGTACACACCCCGATCATCCTACCGCGAGGCCACCACTGTGGACTGCAATGACCTCTTCCTGACGGTAGTTCCCCCAGGACTCCCTGCGGGCACACAGACCCTGCTCCTGCAGAGTAACAGCATCAGCCGGATAGACCAGACTGAACTTGCCTACTTGACCAACCTCACAGAGCTGGATCTGTCCCAGAACAGCTTCTCAGACGCCCGAGACTGTGACTTCCAGGCCCTGCCTCAGCTGCTGAGCCTACATCTAGAAGAGAACCAGCTAAGCCGGCTGGAGGATCACAGCTTTGCTGGGCTGACCAGCCTGCAGGAACTCTATCTGAACCATAACCAGCTGTGCCGTATCGCCCCCAGGGCCTTTGAAGGCCTTGGCAACCTGCTGCGACTGCACCTCAACTCTAACCTGCTTAGGACCATCGACAGCCGCTGGTTCGAGATGCTGCCCAGCTTGGAAATCCTCATGATTGGTGGCAACAAGGTGGATGCCATCTTAGACATGAACTTCCGACCCCTGGCCAACCTGCGCAGCCTGGTGCTGGCAGGCATGAGCTTGCGGGAGATCTCAGACTATGCTCTGGAGGGACTGCGGAGCCTGGAGAGTCTCTCTTTCTATGACAATCAGCTGGCCCAGGTGCCCAAGCGGGCATTGGAGCAGGTTCCTGGGCTCAAGTTCCTAGACCTGAACAAAAACCCACTGCAGCGGGTAGGGCCCGGAGACTTTGCCAACATGCTGCACCTCAAGGAGCTAGGACTGAACAACATGGAGGAGCTGGTCTCCATCGACAAGTTCGCCTTGGTGAACCTTCCTGAGCTGACCAAGCTGGACATCACCAATAACCCACGGCTTTCTTTCATCCATCCCCGAGCCTTCCACCACCTGCCCCAGATGGAGACCCTTATGCTCAACAACAACGCTCTCAGTGCCTTGCACCAGCAGACAGTGGAGTCACTGCCCAACCTACAGGAGGTGGGGCTCCACGGCAACCCCATCCGCTGCGACTGTGTCATCCGCTGGGCCAATGCCACGGGCACCCATGTCCGTTTCATCGAACCGCAGTCTACCCTGTGTGCTGAGCCTCCAGACCTCCAGCGCCGCCCAGTCCGGGAGGTGCCATTCCGGGAGATGACAGACCACTGCCTGCCCCTCATCTCTCCCCGCAGCTTCCCCTCCAGCCTGCAGGTGGCCAGTGGAGAGAGCATGGTACTTCACTGTCGGGCACTGGCTGAACCAGAGCCTGAAATCTACTGGGTCACTCCAGCTGGAGTTCGACTGACACCTGCTCATGCAGGCAGGAGGTACAGGGTGTTCCCTGAGGGGACCCTAGAGTTGCGGAGGGTGACAGCAGAAGAGGCAGGGCTATATACCTGTGTGGCCCAGAACCTGGTCGGGGCTGACACTAAGACAGTTAGAGTTGTGGTTGGCCATGCTCCCTCCCAGTCAGGCAGGGACAAGGGACCAGGACTGGAGCTCCGTGTGCAGGAGACACACCCATATCACATCCTGCTGTTTTGGGTGCCGCCACCCAACGTAGTCTCCACCAATCTCACCTGGTCTAGCGCCTCCTCCCTCCGGGACCACGAAGCCACTGCTTTGGCTCGACTTCCCCAGGGCACCCACCGCTACAACATTACCCGCCTCCTTCCGGCCACAGAGTACTGGGCCTGCCTGCAAGTGGCCTTTGCCGATGCCCACACCCAGTTGGCTTGTGTTTGGGCCAGGACTAAAGAGGCCTCTCCTTGCCACAGAGCCCTGGGGGACCGGCCTGGGCTCATAGCCATCCTAGCTCTTGCTGTCCTCCTGTTGGCAGCTGGGCTTGCGACCCACCTTGGCAGAGGCCAGCCCAAGCAGGGGGTGGGTGAGAAGCCTCTCCTTCCAGTCTGGGCTTTCTGGGGCTGGAGCACCCCCTCTGTCCGAGTAGTGTCTGTACCCCTTGTCCTGCCCTGGAATCCAGGGAGGAACCCACCCAGAGGCTCAAGTGAGGAGACGGTGTCACCACCGTTGTCTCAACATTCCTGAAGTTCTGCCAGGTCTCAGCAGTAGAGAAATAACTAGGACAACTCTACACGAAAAGGGAAGTGATCTGGGCCAGACACCTGCCAGGAAAGTGGCGTTGATCCACATGCTCGAGGCCTGGCAGCTTGACCAAGAAAGACGGGGCTCTGTGGCTCCTGGGGGTGCTCTTGCAGCTTCCAAAATGGTTGCTGTTGCCTTCTGGGGGTCCTCAGCTGCTATTCTGAGGAGTGTCTCCAAGGAACAGGAAGGACTCTGCCTAGAGCCTCCTACCTCCCCAGAGGCTTCTGAACCCCAGAGCTTGGCTGTCCCCTGCCTGTGTCCCTAGGCCCCTGGCCCACAGGATATTGCCCCTCCCTCTTCTCTTTCTTTGTACAGTCTCAGTTGCTTGCTCATCCCCCTCCTGGGCAAGGGCTGAAGGAGGCCTCTCCTTTCTGTCTTGGGAGCCTACCCCAAAGTGGGAGTGTCCCCAGCTGGATCTGAAGGATATTTGGGGAGAGGGGTATCCAGGGATGCCTCCTCTCATAGCCTGGGCTCTAAAGTTGACTTTCTATAGGCAGTTTTGTACGTTTGTGGAGAAATGTGTCACCTGTCCCCAACCAATTCACTCTTTTCTCCTGTTTTGTAAAAAATAAAAATAAACAATAACAACAACAATGGGGCAGGGAATAATCCTTTGCATGCTGGGTATCAGAAAATCTCTTGGGTCTCCTCAGAGACAGGGGTGGGGGCTGGAATGTGATAAGAGTTTGGAGAAGACATTTTGAATTCTGACCTCTGTGTCTGCTCCAAACACAAAGTGTCCCCCTAGCAGGAGCAGAAGCGCTGGGGGAAGAGAATCGAATTGAGGAGAAGCCGCCATCCAGAAAGAGCATGACACGGGCAAGGAAAGGCATAGTGGGAGAGAAAAATGGAGACAAACACAGGCGTGGGAAGAGAGCGAGAATTTCCATCCCCAGGCCTGGTTCCCCTTCCTCCTCTGATGAGCATTTAACTCGCCAGTGCATAAGATGCACGGCCCCAGCCTGATTCTAATTAAACAAACCCAAGAGGTAGGATCATGCAGAGAATGACAAATCATGAAGACAGCAAGAACTTTGGCTCACAGGAAGGAGCAAGCAGGGGTGATTAAAGGTCTAAGAAGGGGGAGGGAGAGGAGGAGACTGCTGTGTCTCTCTCCATTCCTCCGCCAGGGTTCACAACGCACCTGCTTTGGTTGTTTTGTTCTTAACTGGCTACTGGTGACTGAGAGTGAAGAAAACCATCTGTTGGAAAGACAACAGAGACAAGGGCAAAAGGAGGTGGCTGGGGTGGGGCCAAGCAACTGGTGATGCCAGAGGCCACTGGTCAACTGGGCTGGTGAAAGGACTGAGTTTCCCGAGATGCATCAAATCCACACAGGGCATGCTACAGAGCATGTGTGGTAGACTTGGTGGACAAAGACACTAAACCATCACCAAGACAGTAAATGGACACACAGATGAGCACCAGATCAGGGTCTGCACACAGCCCAGGAACCTAAACTGGGATGACTCCCCAAAGTAGGTAGGCACATACCAGCATCCTCCACAGAGGGACTCTCAGAAGCTGCCATCTCCTTGGCAGGGACTGTCACAGCAGTTTGCAGACTCCCCTGCAGAGCTGGTTAAATACAGATGGCTGACCCTGCCCCTGAGTTTCCCATGTGCATTTCTGAAGCAGATGCTGCCAGCCTGGCATGGCTAGAATTTTCCATACCTACTCCATACCTCTGCTGTCCCCACCTTCTGCTTTGTGTTTGGTTTTTGAAGCAGAGTCTATCAACTCTATGTATCTCGGGCTGTTCTCAAATTGACAGTCCTGCTTCAGCCCACTAAGTGATGGGATTACAGGCACATACCACCATACTTTTGGCTTTTTCATCGACAACTAAAGAAAGTTGGAGAAGCAACTAGTGGTCTTCACTACCCTGAGCACCTGATGCTTTTTCCCAGGGTTGTGTGGTCTTTCTACATGAACATACATGCTGTGCCCTGTTGTACCCCTGCCAGGCACTCCTGACTTCCCAGGGTTCCCTCCTGATACACTTTGGCTGCTCTCCTGATTGGCTGGAGCTGGCTAAAGAGGATTCAGCCTCTTCACTGCTCTTCAGCCAAAAACTGTAAAGAAGAGACTGGCCGAATCAGAAGTCACTGCCCTGCTTGCCCTAGGACCATCCTTCTTTTGGTTGGCAGTTGCCACCTTATGGCCAGCCCACACAGCTTGGAAGATGAAATCGCTGTTCCCCTCAATAAGCACCTAGTGCCCGACCCTGCTGCCATCCTAGAGCTTCCCGACAAGAGTGGCCTGAGTGATAAGAACCTAAAACATGGCGCAGAGGTTCTAGCCCCGCCCCCTGCCCTGCTGCTACCCAGCTGCCCAGTCCTTAGGAATGAAGCCCTGCCCTTCTGAGGATTGACTAGCTTCTTAGAACTCATCTGGGTGAGGTGGAGAGCAGGGAGGGACTGCTTTCTTCTTGAAAAGAGAAATGCCGCTTTCGGGGACAGCTAGTTGGGAACATGGAAGGGGAAAGCATGTGGGTCACTGTGTCTTAGGAAAGCTAGAAGCCAGGCAGATGGGAATAAACTGCCTCTAAGGTACCAAGGTAGACTCGAGTCCGGGTCAGGTGCGCTGCCACCAGGAAGGCAGGCACTGAGAACATCGTTTGCCCTCATCATGACACTACAGCCTTTCCACCCTTCCCAGTGGCCGCTCCATTAAGCAAATATGTCTGTCTGCCAGACAGCTTCAGGCTATCTAGATAAATAGTCTTGAAGCCCACAATGATGCATGTCACTAGTAGGGCTATCAGGGCAGACTTAGTAAAGGGCTATGCCACAAGGAAGATGAAGTAAGTCTGTGGCATTCCTCCCACTCAGTCTGGTCACTGTATCACAGAAAATGAGACTGTAGGTCTAACAATTGGCACTTGGCCAGTCTTTGCACCATGCTGCAGGGGGTCTCCCAGCTCTGGACACACTGGGGTGGTTGGCCAGTGCAGGCTAGCTAACTCCCTCCTTCTACTCCCTCTCAGCAAACTATTTAACAAGCATGCCTCTGTGGGTACTGGTCTCAGAATCGGGAATACAGACAAAGAAATAAATAAAACTGTTCAATGTGTTGGTCAAAATGAGTACAATAGAGGAAAATACATCAGGAATGAATAGAAATTGAGAACTTTAGGGGAGTTATAAAGTCTCATTAAGGCAGTGACATTTGAGCAAAGATTTGAGGGAGAAAATTGTTCCCTTTTCTTCGGACGAGTGTTCCAGGCCAAAAGGACAGAAAGAATGAAGCCAAGAACAAGGCAACTAGCATGGGAGAGCAGTACAGGGAGGAGGAGGAGGAGGATAACCAAGGGCCTGAGGTCTGAGCAGTCACAGTAAGGTTGGGCCTTGTAGGCCACCATCAAGAATGTGATTTTTCTTTCCCGTGAGGTGGGAGTCATTAGAGGGTGGTGTGCAGACATGTCATGATTTGACATCAGGGGCACCCCTCAGGTTACCAGAGTGAGAGCAGAGGTTACAAGATAGATGTGGAGAAGCCCAAGACAATCTGTTTAGTCATCCCTCTAGAACATCACAAGGGTTACATATTAAGCAAAGGTCTGTATTTTCTAAATTTACCCTTTCCCTATATTTGTAGATTAAACCCATTCATTCATTTACAGTCTTCTGACTCCTCTTCATTTCCCCACAACACCATCCCCCTCTGGCCCCTGGTGGTGAGTGATCCACTCACACCTGCAAACACTAGGCATCTTCCCACACACTATAAATAAGTAAATGTCATTTGTAAAAAATTTTAAAAAAAATTTAAATGGTCAACTATTCATCACTTGGCGAGAAACCTACTTATTTTATTTTTTAGAGATTTATTTTTATTTGTATGTGTGTGAGAGAGAGGTGTATGCAGGTGCCCGTGGAGGCCAGAAGAGTGTATCAGATCAATGGAACTGGAGATACAGGTGGTTGTCAGCCACCTGATGTGGGTGTTGGAAACCTGGAACCCCTGCAAGAGCAGCAAGAACCCTTAGCCTGGAACCACCTTCTCAGCTCCAAAGTAACCCACTTTGTTTCAAAATAGTTCCTGTTAACTAAGCCTTCATTACGGCATTTGTAGGCTGTGCTTTGCCCATCTCATAAAACAGGTAGAAGCTTACCTAAGGTGGTGGGAATGGCCTTTACCAGCCTTCAAATCTTCATCAATTGTGTCTGCTGTGAAAGTGTGTCACCAGGGAGATGGCACTGCCGTAAGCAAGTCACATCTGCTCTCCCAACAAACACTACCAATGCCTTGTCTAATGTGATTTTATCAGTGAGTGCTCCTCAGGGGAGTCACGAGCGTCAGGCCACCTGCCTCAGTCTACCTTACATAGTTCTCACCCATTTGAGCCATTACTTTTATTAATTTATTTTTTACATTCCAATCCCAGTTCCCCCTCCCTCCTCTCCTCCGACTCCCCCAGCCACCTCCCAACTGCTCCTCAGAGAGAGTAAGACCTTCCCTAGGAAGTCTACTAAGTCTGTCCCATCATCTAGTTGAGGCAGGACCAAGGCACCTCTCCACCCCCACAACCTGTGTCTAGACTGATCAAGTTATCTCTTCATATAAAATGGGCTCCACTAAGTCATTTTGTGCAATAGTGTTAGATCTTGAACCCACTGCCAGTGACCTCATATATTATCCCAATCACACCATTTTCATCTGTATTAGGGGAGTCTAGTTTGATCTTATTCAGGTTCCCCATTTGTCAGACCTGAGTCAGTGATTTCTCACTAGCTCGGGTCAGCTGATTCTGTGGGTTTCCACTTATTGTCTTGACTCCTTTGTTCATATTATCACTCCTCCCTCACTTTGATTGTATTCCAGGAGCTTGTCCCATTGTTTAGGTGTGTCTTTCTGCATCTGCTTCCATCTGTTTCTGGAAGAGGGTTCTAGCTGCTCTGGGGTTGTGGATTGCAGGCTGGGTATCTTTTGCTTTATGT